GTTGTTTGTGTGTGCGCAGAGGGGCTATAAACAACCAGCGCTCAGATCGCTGTTGTCTCTCGGCCGCTGCGCCTTGGCGGCGGTGGTGATCAGCCGGCCGATTTGAAACTTACGTTCCTTATCGCTTTATAACACTCGTCATTGTTTGTGATCCAATCTAGTGGACCAGTCAGGCTTCTAAAATTGGGCGCAGTTGCCAAAATGTCCCTTTCACCAGCTGTTCGAGCTCGTTTACTCACCATGAAGGAGGTCAGTTTCGTGTTCTCCTTGTCTTGTCGCCGTTTATCCGAAAATATGCGATCAATCCCAGAGCCTTTTGCCTTTTGTGTCATTGCCAACGTAGCTCGTGGCTCTGCGATTGATTTCGCACGAATGCTTTCCACGTTCATTTCTGCCTTGTGATTATTCTGAATCACTTGTACTAGCTATGCTGCCCTACAAAGTCAACGACGCTTTCAAAATGGCAAGTTCATGTACTTGATCATTCAATACTTTTGGATCACAGGAGTGAACGGGGGGGGGGGGGGGGGGGGGTTCGGATAGATCGCGCACCACATCCGGATCGCTTGGGTGATCAAATCTCTGATAAAGATAAGATGCGAAGTGATCATTTGGTCATTTATAACTCCAGGCATAATCTAAACTACTGGAAATCATTACTAGTTTTTATTGGAAAGATTTGCCATTAGCTTGTTCCGTAGGTCTTGCACTAGGAACTTCTAAGGATTTCGTTCTGTGCAAATCAGCATTTTATATATATTGGATGTCTTTGTTATCTAAGATATATCCTGTAATCTCTCATATGTATTGGGTTGGTCCGAAAGTTCTGTCCCACCATTTTCAAAAAATCATAACTTCTTCCTAACATGATAATTTTGCATGGATAAAGCCTTTTTGGAAAGAGCAATTCATGCAATTTCTAAAACTACCTTGGCTGTTATCTACTAAGCTCGCAATGCAGAGATAAAATTGAAAAAAGAAATTCACTTCAAGTTCGGATTTTTTAAGCAAGCCCGCTAAAAAATCCAAAACTGCGCCATAAAATCCAAAACAGCCACCATCCTAGACTTTTTGACCCTCTCTTTCCAGCTGAGCAAAATTCGCGCTGATCGAGGTGTTACTTCAAAAGTTATGATTTTTTGAAAAAAAATGTTAAAAAATCAGTTTTCTTAAGAAACTGATTTTTTGGCATTTTTTCTCGAAAATCATAACCTTTCGAAGAAGGGCTCGATTAGCGCGAGTTTTGCTCGAATAGAAAGTGGAGATCAGAAAACCTAGGAATAATGGTTGCTTTGGATTTTATGGCATGGTTTTGGATTTTTTAACGGGCCTGCTTAAAAATTCCGAACTTGAAGTGAATTTCTTTTTCCAATTTTAACTCTGCATTGCGAGCTTAGTAGATAACAGCCAAGGGAGTTTTAACAAGTGCATGAATTGCTTTTTTCAACATGGTTTTAGACATGCAAAAATATCGTGTTAGGAAGAAGTTATGATTTTTCAAAAATGGAGGGAAAGAACTTTCGGACCAACCTAATATATACAGGGTGTCCCAAAAGTAAGTACACACTTTTCAATCGTTAATATCTCTCTACCCAATGGGTCTTTCTTTGCCAGTGAAGTACCATTCTGTAGAGGAGGCTTCAACTTAGATTTGCGGTATCGATCGAATCACCGATCACTCTTCGTTACTGTAAGATTACGATAACAACTTCCGCATGTGGAACCATTTGAAATATGCCACTTGACAAATTTTTTTTTTCAGATTTAAAAAATCATCTACTAGGGTTTTTGTGCACGCTGATTCCACTAACAACTTTTTACGAGTGTTTTCAGCTTTTTTGACGGTGTAATCACATTTCTGACAAATACTGGGAGTTCGATTATTACGTTTACCTGGGATAACTTTAGAAAGAACATCACAATAAAGTGGATATTTCATATTCGAAATCAGCGGCTTCCATCACCGTGGTGTAAGAGTTTTTAGCTTGTTTGGTTTTGTTCCGAGGCAGAATATGGCTTCCAATGGCCTAAAATCCTCGTCGAGGTCCCTACAGTATTCCTACAGTAATGAAGAGCGATCGGTGATTCGCCCGATACCGCAAATCTAAGTTGAAGCCTCCTCTACAGATACTTAAATGGCGAAAAAAGACACAATGGTAAGAGAGGTATTAAAGATTGCAAAGTGTGTACTTACTTTTGGGGCACCATGTATATTGAGTGGGAAATCGCAGAATGAAATTGAAATATGAAATTAAAAATTTTGATCATTCACAGAAATATTCAGCCATTGTGGATTTTCTTGATTAGATACAGGGTTATAAAATCAAGATCGAAGCTAGAATTGATACGCTCTTGATCTCTCACCGTTTATAAATTAGGAGAGACTCAAGTAGTAAACTAGTTTCAATCACAGAATTTTTGGAATCATCTGTTTGAACATTAGTCATAGAGAACGCGAACAGACTACATCAATTATTTGATCAGTGACTACTATGCTTGCTTTTCTTTTGTTTGTTTGATTTTTTAAATTGTTCTCTTAACATATTAGTGCGTCATTTGTGCAAAGTGAATGAAAATTAAACAAATGAATCACTTGCCTTGCAGAAAAGCGCCATCAAGGCGCCTGTTCTATCTTTTTTCTTGATGGAAACACTATCTCATGTGATGATTTTGATCGCCGTAGCTTTGAAAATGTTTACGGACTGATCAGGCTGATCATTTGATGATCGGTACGCCGCAAGGAGAGAAATCTGTGCTGGTTGTAAAAATTTTTATGCTTGATGTTCTTTTTCTCAAAGATGCATAGAATCTGTGAAGAAAAACGGAATTCGTATCCCAATTATTATGAAAGTTATTTGGAGACAAAAGAGCTAGGAGCCAAAACTAAATCACTATCGAAATTTGATCTACGCATATTTCACATTTTGTCTTTATATCACGCTTTTTTGCCGTTTTTATTCCAACAATGTTGATTTTGTATTTGATTTCTTACTTCCTTTTTTGGGGCAAAACCTGAAAGACAAACCTTTTTTGACCATGATATCTGATTTTAAATGCAAAATTGGGGGTAACCAACGATTTTACAAAAATCACTTCCATGTTGTATCCGACCCGGTTGTGGAACCTGTAAATTGGTTCTTTTCCTCTCTTACGATTTTCAAGAGCTAATTTCTTTCTCATCGAACAAAGCGACCATAAATTCTTATATCTCTCCTCCAAAGTACCTGTGCTCCCCCCTCCCCCATCATTTACTACACTCACGCGACCTAGCAAAAAAAAATGCAAGATTGCACTTTCTAGTGTTCTTTGTTCGCTTGCAAAGTTCGTTCACTTTTACGAGAAACGTGCGCTTTGATTCATATCTGTCTCTCTTTTGAAAAACTCTCATTGGCGTGTGTCCATTGGCGAGATATTGTATAACTTCACAAATATGCCGTTGAATACGTAATGTCCATAAAAAAAATGGATGCACGATGTTTCTTGGTAAAATTTAGCCAGTCGGCAGAAAAAATCATAAGTTACGTCCAGCTTTGAACTTACTTACTGAGCTTGAGATATATACAAAAGCTTTTCGAATCGATAATAACAGAGAACTTTTGTATATATGGCTTCACTAATTCAAACGTTTTTGTCTGCTTTTCATTTACAATGTTCTATGCTTTCTGTAAGCTCAAGAAACTGTTCTGATGAGAATAGCTCATTATTTTGTGACCCACTGTGTTTATTTGTTTACATTTCTGATAAACAAGCTAATCAGTGGTGTCTCGAAACAAAGACCGCCACATTGTTTTGGAAGCTTCGTATGTGCTTCGATTGATAAATTGATGAGTAAGTTATGTTAAGGGCCGCGCATACTTCAAGCGATTTGTCACGACGCGATTTGGCAATTCGCCAGAAGTATTCGGATTCAACATTAGCAAACTGTACATGCATAGTGTGTATAACTTATGTGGATTGATAAAATGCCCTATCTTCTGTACATTGAGAATGTGCTTACAACGAGTTATGGACAGTTGGAATATTGCCAAATCGCGTCGCGACTGAAATCGCGTGAAGTATGCCCGGCCCTTTGAAGGAAACTTTCTATGTATTGACGATTCGGCACCTTCCCACATTCGGCTTGCATACACTCTAAACCCTTCATAAAATGTCTATTATACTCTAATATGTTTACCTATCAAAAAGCACCGTATGCCTCCACATCCCTTTCTATCCTATGTGTTGCACCAGTACACATTGTGTCAAAGAGTTACCGTCGTACCTTTTTTGTTTTTGTTTTTTTTGCTCCTTTCCCTTCTCTTTCCAAGCTCTTCCTTGGAGTCCGCAGCTTATCACCAACGGAAACGCAAATTTGAGGTTTATTTCACGGAATTTGAAGACAAAAGTATTGTGTATGCAGCTTCAAAACTGGATACTGGTTTTCTTCATAGCTGATTGGGAGCCTCAGCCAACATAAAACCCAAGCAGCAAATCATATGATTCATTCACGTCTGAGAGGTTCAATTCTGAGCTCTAACCCAGACCGTACTTCCTTCTCGCAAAGCTAATTGTACCCGGAAAAGCTATGATTGCGCCGCGATTAGAAGTGAGCGTTTCTGGATTAAATTCCACAATTGAGCCACAAACCATGTGAGCTACCTTTGGGTATATGGCTGCTTCCCACTCAGTATCTACTTAAGAGACTCAGTATCCAAATTTGTCTGGACACTGCTTTTAACGTGCTTACCTTACCTGCTTACCTTTGCTTACCTTCATGTGGGATCCCACTGCTTTCAGCCTATCCTCTGTACTCAACTCTATTCCAACATAGGAGATGCTAAGTTTCATGATAACAACCTTAGATTACTCTTCAGTACACTAACAAGGCTTGACCCAAAGTCTTTGAGTTATCGGGGGTTCACCGCTTTTCCCCGAGTCTTGTCGGCTTTTTTGTATATGACTCGTCCTCTCCTAAAGAGTTTCACCCATTCGTTTATTCATTACTGCGCGTTTTAGCAATTATGGTACCTCATCCCGTCGCAAGGCTGATCTCTATGGAGCACCAAAAAGATGTGCAGGTAAGAAAAGGTATAGGTAGTGCGTGGGTCCAAATTGTAGGTTTCTTACACAGGATCAGAACAAATGACAAATTTTCGGTTGTTTTAATTCCAATTTCTGGAAGAAATCCAGAAATTCTTCCAGTGACTAGCTCTAACGCTTTCACCTTTCCTACTGTATGCACCTATTTGCTTAGTATATGTCCAAATCTGTCGATCACCCTTTGCACATTTTGTCTATCGTCTTACATTATCTTTATGCATCTTTCTTTTGCACTCTAAGTTTCATTCACTTTGGCTCATGATTACCATCTTTAAGCTTCTGGCATTTCTTTTGTCACTAATTTACCGAATTGATTTATACTAAACACTTTGTAAAATTAAGATGCTAAACCAAATTGAGTACCTAATTATATTGAGTAGATAGGTAGCAAAGAGGTTGCGAGGATTTCTATTCTAGAATATTCCAAATTATGAATTCACCATTGCAGAGTTCCGAAGAATGGAAGACATCCACAAAAATGGAGACGCTTGGTGCGCTCGAAGTCGAGCTGGCGAATCTCTTGAACACTTCCAGACCGGATGAAATGGAGGTTTGTTAGTTTTCAGTTTGTTCGCCTTATAACTATAACTAAGACATTAGTTTTGCTAGCATCCCTTAAAAATTTCAAGATACATAACCTTGAAACGCTTCAAAATCTAGAAATTCGATCAAACAGTGGAAAATACGTATGGTATTTGAGCGCATCGTCTCAGCATGTGTTCAAAATGTGAGAAGCGCAGAATTCTGAAAAACCACTTTCAGTACGCATGTGATCAACGAATAATAGGGCTACTCCCACTATTCGCCCCACCTTTTCTCAAATTCGGTCACGTTGTAAAAATTGCTGTATGCTCCACACGGTTAATCCATTCATAGACAAGCTATCTGATAATATGATCTCGCGTTCAGTACCGTACCCTTTCTGAGAGAACCAATCGATTCGTGTACTCCACACTAATCCAAGTTCAAAATATTGTATTACTCAGCCAAAATGTGGTATCTTACTCGAGATCTCTGGTACTACTATAAATATACTTAAATTTGCCTGAAAATTGTTTTCAGTATTGCAAACCTTTTATGCTGCCTTTTAAGATAGTGGAAGAATTTTAAATCGTTTTCTGTCTTTATTTATCTATCTCTGCGCACCTTAATGCTTTTGTTCTTGTGTTTAATTTTTTGCATTGCACAGCAACATATACTTCTGTTTTGCCTGTACAAATATCAACAGTTATTTGCTGCTTTTTCGATGTGTACACTTAAAGAAAAAATTCTTTACTTGCTCTCGTCTTCCATAGCAAACAAGTCAGCAAGAAGAAATGGTCCAGTGAGATCTTTGAAATAGCTACTCTAGAGAGCAGAAAGTACAGTTATCCAACTGCTCTGATTCTATTAGGAACATAGATACATATAAGCTTCAAATTTTCTTGGAAAACCTGATTCTTCAACTCTGACGGTGCATCACTTCTGAACCTTCTCAAAGCCTATGCGATATGTTTAAATCTAATACTGCTTTTCAGAAAAATCGAAAGGAGCTGTCCGGTTTTCGTAATCTGTTTGCGAGATTTTTGCGAGTCAAGCCTCATGTGGATTGGACTAAAATTCAACCATTACCTGAAGGAGCTATCAGGACGTATAAACATGTTAGTAACAATAACTTTTCGCAAGTTTCTAGTAAAATGAATGTTTTGCAGTTAGAGCATCCTAACAATGACGAAGCGATTGCATCTATGCTAAATAAGTTGGTGGTAGTGAAGCTCAATGGAGGATTGGGTACATCGATGGGTTGCAAAGGTCCGAAATCGGTGATACCCGTGCGAAATGAGCTCACATTCCTCGATTTGACCTTGCAACAGATTCAGGTTTATATCTCTTACTTCGTCTTTAGTGGTACTTTCAAAGAAGGGTTTCAGACCCTGAACAAGACTTACAACGTTGATGTCCCACTAGTTTTGATGAATTCATTCAACACAGAGGAGGATACTAAGAAAGTGCTGAAGAAGTACGCCAACGTCAAGGTAGGTTTCCCGTTTTCCATCCTCCCTAGCCAAAGGTTTGAATGAACTACTAAACTGGTTCAGGTATCCGTCTACACATTCTGTCAATCGCAATATCCTCGAGTAAACCGCGAGACATTGATGCCGATTGCGAAAACCCTGCACGATTCCGATCTAGAATGGTGGGATTGTGTTTTTTTCATGAGAACTTGTAGATTCTTTTGGAAATATCGATATAAAATTTCCCCTTATCAATTGAGCTTCTCCCCATGAAATCAAATCTCTATCGCTTTGCTAGTGCTAATTAATTTCTTTGAAGATGCTAGAATAAGAAAAGTTAGGTGTGGACCAAAGTGTTTTGAGGAGTTTCGTATTCAAACGAAAGGTGCTGAATGATTATATGAAAACGAGTTGTATAAATGGCCTTCTTTTTCCATCTCAGTTATTTACTTTGCGCACCAAAAAGGAAAAAGAAAAATGATTTTCGATTTCTTATGAGAATGATGTGTTTTCTTTGAATTCACTAGGTCACTGCCCATGGAGCAGCTCACAAAACACATTTGTGGCCAAGAAAATCCACTCTAAAGTTTCGTCCAGACAGTACTCTTTCCACCAGCACTCTCGACTACCGTACTGGGCGGGCGTCTATTCACTTAAAGGCAGTGTCCGGGCAAAAAGTCGATTTTGAGATTTTGTGCTTACCCGGGCCTATTCACTATGCTGAATCCGAAAATCCACATTGGAAAGCGCAAAAACGGCAAAAAAGGCTTTAATGCAGGAAAGAAATCGAAAGTGGGCGGGGCCCTCCCCACTGTGAATTTCGCAGTCCCAGCTTCTGGAGAGGTCTTCCCAATTCCTCTAGCGCCCTGAGATCTCCACCGGCCAGGTGCGAATGCATGACTTGAAATCGGAACCGAGAAAATCGCTCTGGAAGCTGGGGGCGTTAATTCACAGTGGGGAGAGCCCCGCCCACCTGCTGAATTCCCTCCCGTGTTAGAGCCGTTTTTCGCTGTTTTCGCGCTCTCCAATGTGCATTTTCGGATTCAGCTTAGCGAATAGGCCCGGGTAAGCAAAAAAATCTCGGGATCGAGTTTTTGCCCGGACACTGCCTTTAATAGTGCTAAAATCCGATCATATGAGCTGCCGTTAGGGCGGATGTTAAGTCCTCATTGTCAGCGTACACTATCCCTAGGTTTACCCGAAAATCGTCAATCGTTTTGTCTTTCGTTTTAGTTGGTACCCACCTGGACACGGTAACTTTTATGAGGCTTTCTATAATTCTGGACTTCTCGACAAATTTATTGCCGAGGGGAAAGAGGTTGGTTTAAGATGCCTCATTTTGTGTGAAGCCTTATTTTCATTTTTTTAGTACTGCTTCCTTTCCAACATCGATAATATGGGTGCAACTGTGGACTTCGCCATTCTTAACTTTTTGTTGTCTCCTCCTGCTGGTCATGAACATCCCGAATTCTTGATGGAGGTAAACAATTAAGCAAATTTGTTTGGTTGATATGGTATCTGCTTCATTTAGGTGACAAACAAGACTCGAGCTGACGTCAAGGGTGGTACCCTTATCCAATACAATAACAAACTTATGCTTCTTGAGATTGCCCAGGTACCAAAGGATTATACGGACGAGTTCAAATCTATCAGCAAGTTCCGGTAGGCAGTAACTATTCCAATTATATTGTAAGCCAGGGGCAGGACAGACATATTTGAATTTGTAGAATTTTCAACACTAACAATCTATGGGCGAAACTGCCGGCTATCAAGCGAGTCGTGGAGAACAACGAGTTGGAAATGGAGGTTATAGTGAATCCCAAACACCTTGAGCATGGCCTCGATGTCATTCAACTAGAAACCGCTGCCGGCGCTGCCATCAAAAATTTCCGAGGAGCGTGTGGTATGTAATAGCAAATTTTTGGAATATTCAAAGATTATCAGTGTTATTTCCAGGTATAAATGTCCCTCGAGCACGCTTTTTGCCAGTAAAGAAGTGCTCCGACTTATTACTTCTTATGTCAAATCTTTACGACATTGACCACGGCAGCCTTACCCTATCCGAACAGAGATCGTTCCCCACCACGCCGCTCGTTAAGCTAGGGTCGAGCTTTGATAAGGTGAGGAATAGGTGCTTTCAAGGTCACAAGTTCACGCAGAAAAAGCTGCTGTTACAGGTTTCTGACTTCCTGAAACGATTCCAAGGAATTCCGGACCTGCTAGAATTGGACCATCTTACCGTATCTGGAGACGTTTGGTTTGGAAGAGATGTAACTTTGAAGGTTTGTTTGCTTCATCAAAAGCTAATCTACTGGTGGCAAAATGATAAATTGCTAAACAGTAAGATGAAACAACAATCAAAAAGCTTTATATCATACGAAGTCCATATTCATAGATTGCGACAAAGCTGCTCAGAAAAGAAAACAAAGTCAATTTGTATTTTCTCGCATTTTCCAGGCGCTTCTTTGTGACATACGACATAGGCATTCCTTATTATTGGGATTTATTTAATAAATAATTTTCGTAGATCAATATCAAAATATCACGACATCGTTCCACATGCGCTGATTTAGCCAATTTGCATTACGAACTGTTTTTCAAATTTCTCAAAATCATCTTCAGGCAAAGTTACGAAGATTTGTTCCTAAAGGATGTCCTTTCCAAGTTTTCTTGGATCTTTGCCAAAATATTCTCCACAGCGCTCGCGCTCTTAATTATCTCCTGCGGATACAGGCGGCAGCCCTTTGGTTCGTCCTGCACCACCCCCAATTTAGCCCTCTTCTTTTGAACTTAAATCGTCATCTTGCCACAGTTTCCGCTTTGTTATTCAAAAAAGATCCAAAATTAATATTAGGTTGGTGCAGAAGTAATGCGCGTTTTTCTAGCCTTTCTTTCAGGACAGCTTTTCCCCATCAAACTTTTCCCATTGAAAAAACTTAGCATGCTATCAAGGAGCTTCTTTCATGCTCTATCCAATGATTGTTAAATGGAGCTTCTAGCCACATTCGTTAAAAAATTAATAGAGCTTCATACAACCACACTCGAAAGCAGTTCATCGCACTTACTTTTTTGACCAGGATACAAGCGCGAATAAGCGCATTCTTTTGAAAATTTGGCTACTGTATCTAAAAGAAATTAACTACATATGCACGCTTTACTATTTTCTTAGAAATTACTCAAGCAGGAGCAGTGGTTTTCTACATTCTGTGCCCTATAAATTCCCTTTAAAGAGGGCAATCGCTGAAGCTTTGCCCACTTGTGTAAGCGTAAGGGTGAGCCTCCTGTTGACAATTTTTGCAGAAATCTTTAGCTGTTCAGTACGCAGGAAATCAAAAATCTCCATATTTTGCGATCTTGAGAACTACGAAAAAATGCCGAAACAAGCGGACAATTTTGAATCATATTTATTTCCTTTTCGCAAATCTTCTTTGAGTCCCTTTCAAATTTTTTGTACTATTCAGTTGCGGCTGAAAGACAGGCTACTTACTTATTATTCATACTAAGAAATTTTAAAGGGAGTTATGATCAGTTGGAAACGAGGTTTCAGGAAAAAACTTTTTTGCTTAACAATTCATATTTTTGTGCTCGTTTGTGATATGAGCATAGGTGGATGTGTCCTGTATTGAGGAAAGTTTGTTTGTTGCTGATGTTCTTTACCGCACTAAAAGATATGGATTTTTCTGAAGAAAGTTACAGGACATCAAAATGCAACTCGCAGCACCGCATTACTTTTGCAGCAACCTAATATTTATACAAGCTTTTTTTTTTCGTGAAAAGTTTTGGTCCAGATCGTGTAAGACTTATGAGGCTGGAAAAGAACTAGGTGCCTTTAAAAATTCCGAAGTGTAAATGAGTACATGTGAGGCCCATACGTTCATTGAAAACATATGTACCTTCCTCTCCCTCCCCCCCCCCCCCAAATTTTCCGCGAACGCCGTTGGGTTTGGTACACGTACGCACGTTTTGTGAGAAAGCGCAATTAGAGTGATTAAAACCTCAGATGGTTCACGTTCTCTGCTTTGCTTTTCTCTGTCCTTCTGACCAATTACAACATCTTCTTTTCAGGGGACTGTGATCATCATTGCCAACCACGGTGACAGAATTGACATTCCTCATGGGTCAATTTTAGAGAACAAGATTGTGTCCGGAAATCTCCGTATCTTGGAACACTAATATTGCTCGAATTTCACTAGCTCCGCAACTAAACTCTCTATGTGCCTGAAATTTGTCTCTGCCTTACCGTACTACCTACTAAGCTAGACGCGTCACAGTGAGAATCCGCGAGTGTTCGAAAGAAAAAATTATGCGTCTTACTGAGAACTTCAGCAAATTTTTTTCCCTTTCAATTAGCGACAACATGGTAAAAGAGTATATCTTATCAATCATGTCTCTAATTGCTATGTCTTGTTCCAGTCGCATTCTCTCTTTCATTTGATTCTCACCAAAGGAATATTCGCGGTATTGTTTTATATGATGTATAGATTGTAAGTTAAAGATTTATAAAGATTAATAACTGAAGATATCTCATGCTTCAAGATGCTGTAAATAACTCCCATATCTATGTAGAATCTATACAGCGCACAAGTTACTTGAAGGGAATGGTCAGAAATCGAATTGAAATTGAATTGCCAATCCAAGCAAGCTGCTTACCATTCGATGCAGCATTCAACGCTAATTTTGAATCTGTATTCCAAATCTGCTTAGCGCCTTTGTAAGTTATGACCAGTTTTATTGCGAGAAAATCGTACATAAAAAATGCGAAATTGAGCACATTGTTGCACCTTCAGCTCACCTTTAACTCTGAGAATATAAATTAACCTAGCTGCATGTTTTATTCCAGCATTCAACCAAATATGGGTCTGTACTGCCAAATTTGTGCTTTGCATGCACATTTCTTAGCAAAATGTCAAAAATAAATGTTTAATGGTACATAACTTCGCCCACATAGGCGTAAAGCAGATATGAAACACAGATTTGGAGCAGCGTTCCATGCTCTATCGAATCTGGTAATAATGGTATGCAACTTGTTTGGATTGGTCACTTCGCTTTCTCACTTGTGCCTTGTTAGAAATGACAGAGGTGATTCTGGAAAGGGTGAATGGCGAAAAAAAAACGATTAGTATGCATTTGAGAGACTAGGATCGATTATGCACTGAATATCTGGTTTGAATCAGGGTAGCCTATTCTTCCAGTTTTCCCAGGTTTATGCTACCCATTCTAGCATCTTGCGCACTGGAGAAGATATCTCTGCTTAATGGAGGTCATGACAGAATATCTGATCGATTAAATTTTGGACTTATGAAGTAAGGCAGATGGGAGGAGGACGAAGTGCCCGTTAAAAAATTCGATTTCTAGGAAATTCACTTATCTGGAGTTACCCTCAACGCTGAATCCGGGAGGTCAGGAGGCACGATCGGCGCGAATTTTTGCAATGTACTTCAACCCATCCAAAGCAGTACTCCTGGCGCAATGTTGTTATGACGTCGAGTCGTGTACCTGTCCCACCCACACCCCCTGTTTTTTGCCGATAAAAAAACTCCAACAGCGGAAGTATTGTGGGTTCCAAGATCGCGCGGCAGAGCGGCTGCAGTGCGCGGCGTACTTCCTGACGTGCAGCCGATAGGCGGAGTCGCCCGGGACCCTACGACCCAAATGGCGGCGTTCGTACTTTGTCGCAGAGCAGGAAGTCCACAGATGGAAGGACCCTCCCATTGCATACGTTCCTAGCATTCCGCCCGTCTTTCTTGCTTCTGGTCATACACTATGGCCTCACTCTTGCGCTACAGCGTGTTTGAGGAGAACCACTTTCGTATAGTACTGAAATCCCAAAACCCTAGCTTGGTCCGGGGAAGGGTGAAACGCCGGACACGCCATCACACAAGTGCGAAGTCACAACTTTAGACTAGAAGCGAAAACTCCCTTTGGGAAGTATACGAATCGTTGACCGCACGATGGACATCATTGGAGAGTATGCGCCGCGAGGTAGAAGCTTGCTCCACTACAAGTTCGCCATTGTACAAGTCATGCTCTCGTGATAATTCAGAAGCGCCGTGCGTGGTTCGCAGCGTTTGAGCAGTTCGTGCAGTCAAGGAACCGACATTAAGAATTGCGTTCTGATGGAGAATCTCGCATGTGAATTTCTTGCACTGCGGCGGTATCGCACGCCGCCACAGTTAAAGGCAGTTTTTCGCCAAAGTGGAGGTACCGGGTTTCTGTAGCCATGTTTAGACCTCCTAAGTAAGCGGTGACTTGAGTTTGTTGCAAAAAAGAGGGTCTGCCAAGCCTGAAAATTGCCCCGAAAGTGGCGCGGATTTTACGGTAGGCTCAGGCGAGTACAAGATGCATGCAAGATAAAGACGCAGAGTCGTTGCGGGACCCTGCGCTCATGACTGTGTGCGCTATGTGTGGAGAGAATCTGCAAAGTGCATGAATCGCGCCAAGAAGAAAACGGTCACGGTTGAACCCGAAGATAACAAGGTCGCGGATAAGAACTAAGGCGGAGGGAAAAGTGACCTAAGAGATTTGCGGCAGGGCGTAATATACTGTAATCTCGTTATGAAACGTAAACTTCGCCGAACGACGAGTTAGAAAACTGACGGTACTCTGGACGGAGAGCTGTATACAAGGACAATAAATTGAGAAGACGTGCCACTACCTCTTCACATCCCTTTCCTTTACATTCTGGACAACATCTTCCTCTCTCGTCTATTCTTGGATATCGTGCCTTTCTTTTTTGTCAGTGATCATGCGTGTTGATAATCTTACCAGATGATGTAATCCCCTACTTACCCTTGATGTTGAACTTAGCATTCCAAGATATATGTTGTTGGGATCCAGTGACCTTCAGATGGACATGCAAAATTTATGGCCTTAGACGAGTTCTTCTAACCAGTTAATAATTGTTAAGGTTCGCAAGGTGATAAGATATAACACTTGATAGGAGGATTTAGAGTAATTTGCGCACTTGAGAGATGCGAACCTTACATGGAGGTTCCGGTCTCAGACTGTAACGCGACTTGTAAGTATATAAGGGCGCAAATCTTGAGTTATTACAATGGAAAAATTAGATCTTCTGATATACATACTGCGCAACTTTGCGTTCGATGCACCTGATATCGCGGACGACAACGACAACGGTGAAGGCTGGATTGAAGCCATGAGGAAGAACCTGTCGCTCCTTCCGAGAAGCATCCATTATTTCCACCTTTATGTAAGGGTGTACAATGGCCAACGTCATCGAAGGCCTGAGGTCCGTTTCCCTTCCCAAACTCCCATCGTATTCCTTTGAGCGCTGAATCCGTTCGTTATTCCCGTTAGCCCTGACTGCGTTTAGCGGGTTCTGCGGAGAACTATAATTCATTTCCCCACCCATAGGATTTCCCTTCTGACGGCAAAGCAGTTTCGATTCCCGTGTAGAACCTGCCAGACAAAATCCCGCCATTCGCTTTAGCGCCATCTCGAAATGAGGTACAAAGCGGTACTAAGATTTTCTGGAACTTCTCTCATTGACTTCTCGGCATCCAGAGATGAAGAATTCTGGCCATCGACATTCGAGCAAATCTGGATCGTACTCCCGCGACTCCCATAAGACCTGCTGAGCCCACAGCACCCTAGCGGGATCCCTGCGCGGATGTGGAGAGAATCTGCAAAATGAGTTGCAAACTACACGAACGCAGCAAGAAAGAAACGGTCACGTTTGAGCCCAAAGATAAGTAAGGTCGCGGATAAAAATTAAGGCGGAGAAAAAAGTGGCCTAAGAGGCTTCCGGCAGGACGTAATATACTGTAGTCTCGTTATAAAAACATAAACTTCGCCGAAGTTGAAGAACTGACAGTACTCTGGACGGAGAGCTGTATATAAGGAAGGCCACAAATCGAAAAGACGCAGTACCACTACATCTCCACTTCCCCTTCCTTCACATGATTCTGATCACGATCCTCCTCTCTCATCTATTCTTGAGGATCGTGCCTTCTTTTTTGTCAATGATCATGTGTGTGCGATAGCCTTGCCGGGTGATGTACTCTGTTTCCTTACTTGCCCTTGATGTTAAACATAGCATTCCGAAGATAAATGTCATTGGGAAGCAGTGAATGTCGTTGGGAATCGGATGGACATGCAAAATTTACGCCTTAGACGAGTTCTTTAAGCCAGTTAATGATCGTTAGGGTTTCCAAGATGGTGAGAGATAGCACTCGATTGAAGGATCTCAAGTAATTTGCGCACTTGAGAATGCGAACCTTACAATGCGTGCTCTGGCCTTGCAGTTTGACATCCCTGTGCGGGGCATTCGGGCCTACCGTATCATCCGGGCCAAATTTGGAGCAAATGTCAGGCTTGGTAGACCCCCTTTTTTGCTCCGAATAGTCATCGCTTAGGTAGGGGTCTACTTTAATATCGCTACAAAAATCAACCCGGCACCCAACTTTTTGCCGGGACGCTGCCTTAAAGGTTATAAGGGGGCTTTTTAGCGCAAACTAATTGATCCGTCTAAATTGAGAATGTGCTTTGGGGAAAAGGCTGGTCTCGTGGTTTTCGTGCTCTCCGATTGATTTGGATTCAGTCTGTTGGATAAGCACAGGTAAGCAAAAAGCTAGAAATTAAGTTTGCTGAGCCATTCAATCAGGATCTCACACAAGTCTCTTCTCGGCTTACAAAGACGAGTAAGAGCTGGGCCCATTTGCATATTACAGTTATTAGCATTGATAAACAGCAGCGGTTGATGAAGGCGAGTTCTGGAGTTGAGCGTACCGCTCCGCAGCTTAGGTCTCGGGGTCCCCTTCTACAGTCTCATGTATCTGTTATATATCGGTTGGCAACCGTTATCAGATCGTTCTCAGCTATGCTGATTGTAGAAATATGTCAACATCTGCATATGCCATCATGGGATATTGTTTCCTCTTACACCTCCCCATTTTACCCGAAAGTCCTGAAGGGACTTTCTAAAAGTTTGTCCTGACAAAATTTGTTCGTCTTTTTCCGGGATATTGGATTCGAGTGCACAAACGAATAACAAAAGCAGGGTCTCTTGCTAAGATAAGATCTGTGAATCTTCGCAGAAAAGAGCTGGCTATCTTGTCTTGGTTACAGTCATCTGAATTTGGGTCTACGACCCTTGGGGAGAATATCGGCTTATGAGAAAACGTTTATGGTTCACAGATTTGTAGCTTCCGAATCACCCTTCGGATCTGTAATTGTCGAGACGAGGAAGGCGATAATAGTAACATACATTTAAAATCTCGTTTAGAAAAGTCACGTTCAACTCCAAAACGCCCGTGCTTTCTTTCGTTGAGCGACGGACATTGGTTGTATGCCAGAATCCGTTGAGCCTCCGTAGGAACTACTTGATTGAGTGGGTGCTTTCGAAAAAAAACGTCTTACTGCTCGCGCCTTATTTAGTGTCCGTTGATCAGGCCCCTCTAGGCTCTAAATCTGTCGACGAATATCAGTGCGCAGTCGCTCCACAAACTTTACTAAGTTTCGCTCCTGCTGGCTGGACCACCTGCTCTTGTCCCGCCGTAGCCTTTAATCTCTCAGATCTGTTAGCGAAGGCTACTGCCTATTCCCCTATCACTTGACGACTTGCCAATAAAGTTTGTCGCGCCACATAACGTTGCTGCGGGGTGTCGAAGTACTTAGTCAGGTGCGCGACTATTTTACCGTAGTCTTGGCGCTTGGTGTGGAAAAGCTCCTCTATTTTTCAACGTGCCATACCACCTAAGTGCGTTATGAAGTTATTAGCTTTTTCCTCGGAGGATAGCGCTAATTGATGCTTCCGCATGATATCTTGAAAGTGGTGGAGCCAAATGCCAAACTGTCACGTTTCTCCACATCCCGTATATGCCGACTAGTAAATGTGGTGTCTCCCGGGCTACAGACGGCTATTTGGGGTACTTTGCTTATGCGGATATTAATAGGTCAACCTTATCTAATTCCTTGTAGAGGCTCCGCAATGTTGTTATTAAAGTGCTGTACTAGCTGCGCGGTATCGTAATTCGTGTAATGCCACAAATTAGCAACGTCAGATAGGCGTCAGGTGTTGCGTCCAAGAGCCTTAGCGTCTAGACCGTGTACCACATCCCTCACATTGCCTAGAGTAGTTTCTAAGGGTGGCATCAACTTATCCGGAGTCAAGATTTCTGTATGAATGTTCTCTACGGAACCGGTAGTAGGTTCTGAGTTCTGTGCTTGGGTAACTGCGACCCCTGTGTCAAGCGAATGGGCACGAGAACGAGTAACTGGAGGTGCCATCCGTGAAGAAAACAAAAAAGTACGAGGGAAAAAGTAGAGTGTATGAAGTATGTCGTCTTCTATCACTGCTGTGTATATATACAAGTCAGATATCAGATAAGGAAAACATGTAAGCATTCTCGAAGACATTCTTCCCTGACTCCATATCTGCAATCTTCT